TCATATTTTATCCCATTTATGCCAAAGATTGCAGTTCTAAAAAATTTTGCAAAAATATATTATGTTGTTTCATGGGTTTTCCAAAAGTGGAACACTAAGCATAAAAGGATTAAGATGAAAATTGGTCCTTTCCTGCACGGTGTCACACTCAATATGTTTTGTTTGATATTTTGCACTCATAATAATGGCCACCTTGTTGTATGGGTTTATGATACACCGTTTACTTTATTTTCCCTCTTAAAGCTCAAGGGGTATTCTGTTGCCATCCCTAAGATCTTTGAAAGGACTTTTGATACAGTAAGTGAAAAATTGAAACCTCTGTAGGTAATATCCAGATTTGAGTTCTAAGACACAAAAGTTGCATTAATGGATAACTAGGGAAGCCTGAATGAATTTTTAGTTTGGTTAATAGTAATAATGTGCTTGTGTTAATTTCTTTGTTTGGATGAATTCTCTGGTTACATAAAATGTTAGCAGGAGTAGAAGCAAGGTTATATGGGAACTCTGTTGTAGGAACTGAACTCATGAAAGCCTGTGAATATGTGGATCTATAAATAATTTTGAGTTCATAAAATTAGGGAAAGATTAGTGACAGTTGTACCTGGACCTGTTTATACTTTCAACATTAGCAATTAAATTAAAGCCCATCAGTAGAAATATATATTCTTCATATGGAGGTACCAAGGTCTTAAGTTTGATGACAAGAATGTCTCTTTAAGTTGTTGCTGTTCACTTTTAAATTTTCAAGATGAAAGTGTATAATTGACAACATCTTCATTTATTTAGTTTCATTTTAAATTCTGAAGAGAAAACCATCTACAAGAAAATAGTTAAAATTCATCAGTTTCTCCTATCACTAGAATAAGAAATACACACTAAGAATAAGAACTACTTAGTCACTGGGGGACAATTATAAGAGTAGCAATTTTGTCCCTGCTGTCTTGGGCTGTAAAGTGTCATCATATGCCTTGGCCTTCATGCTCTGGAGGCCTCGAGCCAGGTAGTCTCAGGGCTTGAGCCCAGGTGATTAGGATATTGTCCGGATAACATGGCGCGTGGGTGTGCAGAGTTACGCTGATGCTAGTTTGTAGGCGAACTTGAATGCTAAGAAACTTGAACTTTTAATTTTAGAAAAAGGGGGGATCTGTTGTTTTTGGAAGTAAAGAATAATCTTTGTAAGACAGCAACATTTGTGAACAAATGAGTCCTGTAAGGTAATTGACAGACAGGGTGTTTGAAGAGGCATTGTAAAGCATGAGCTACACTGAGATAAGTGAGTCAAACTTAGATATGTCACATGGGGGTTTTTCTGAAACACGTGAATGAGATGAATTGATGGCAGTATGACCTGCTCTCAGGGATACAGTACAGGCTCGGTGGAGTTGACCTGAGCTAATGTGGGTTACAAGCCCCACGTGGAGTGAAGGGCTTGTCACAGTACAGAAACAAAAGGAATTGTTTGAAAATTCACCAGAGTCCCTGATTGTGAATTTAGAGATACAGAATAAATGGTGACTGATAGCCCGAGCCAGTGTGTATGGCCTGGGAGCCTTAGTCACACATATTCTCACTTTCAGGAAATGCTGACTTGCCACGTAGAATCGTCTAGCAAGAAGTTAGACTAAGGGCAGGGAAGCTCAGGAGACGGGTGCGGATGTGAATTTGCACCCTAGGACTGAAGGAGAAAGGCCCTGTAGGAAGTACAACGGAGGAAATACCATGGAAATTGCCTCTGGGTTTGAAGCCTTGGAATTTCATCCTGAAGGGTTCAGCCCCCGAGAGGCTAGAGATAAAACTGAAGTCCTGGATCAGTCTGTGTGGGTGGCCCTCAGTTTCATGAGAACAGTGGGTCCAGGGACAGGGTATGAAGTGCTTGTGTGTAGCCAGGCCGCTGGCAAGCAGCGGGATCTGTGGGTTGATGCAAGTCTTTAAAGGTGTAGCTGTGTGATGCCTGAAGATGGTAAAAGGATGTTGTTTTCATTAAATTTGTCAAATGGCAGTTGTGCGTAAGCACTCCGTGAGGGGCACCAGAGAACATGAAAAGTGATTAAAATAAAATATGGTAGTATTGTTTCTGCCCTGAGTAAGTGCTGCCTCAGGTTCTGTTGATTCTACCTGGGTGTATCATCTGCAGCAACATGTCAGCAACTCTGGTATTGTACGTACAACTGGAAGGACATAGTCAGTGATGGAGGACATCTAGGAGATGTGAGGGAGAGGGGAAGAATTGAAGGAGCAATGGGAGAAAAGATCATGTGGCTGTGCAGGCCGGAGTCGGTCAGGACTGGATAGAAAAAGAGCCTTCTTCTAAAGTGGCAAAAGGAGGGGAGACCAGTCTGGCCTTCTGAGAACTCTTTTGAGGTCAGATCAGTTGAGGAGCTCAGGAAATCTCTACTGTCAATGTTGTGTGCACAACAGTCTGGGTTGTAGTTTTCTACCATTGAGAAGCACCTGATCTAATGGGAAAATGAGGTAGTTTGAAGGAATTGGTTTTGACTGAGAGGCTATTCTTTAAATGTTTAATGAAATGCATCTGCTAATATGTCAAATACTGTATGATTGTTTCAGTGTCTGCAGTTACCTAGGGTTAGGTTGTGGCACACCAGACTCAAAAGTTGAGAATCTAGGAGGGAGATAGAAGAGAGACCTGTGTTGGCTCTTGGAACTTCCCTCCCGTTGAACTCAGGGGTACAAAGTGTATGTGAAATATTAGGAGAATTCAGACAAAAAAGAACCCTTTCCTGCCAATACTTCAAACAAAGTTTTGAAATAGATTTGCCACTTATTTACATAGATTTTTTGTTTGGTGTTTTTATGTTATTTTTACACACTTAGAAAATACACTTGTGTGCTTGTACTTTTTTGGCGATAGCTAAGTGACAGTATGTAGAGAAACATAAAGATGATTTTGTCTATGAAATGAAGAACTACCTAATTCCAAGACTACCCATGTAGAAGAACCTTTGCCAGGGCTTTGCATGAGGGGTGCAGTCGGTTGGTGGTGGAGCTTGAGAACTGTTCGCGTTTTCAGTTTGGTGTACGTTAGCTCAGGCTTCTCTCCTTCATTGTACTGGTTATATTTTAAGTGCTCGTAGCCAGAAAATAGGAGAAAAGTAAAAAGGAGAAAATAATTGATATTATACTTTGGCTTTGATGGTCAGATATAGTAGAAATTGAAAAGTAATTTGAGAAAATACAGAAAAGTTCATTATTTTCTTTGAAAGGTTTCAAAGCCCTTGTTACTGTGCTAAATTTTTAGAAGCTGCTTCATGAAATCCTGCTTAGAAAGAAAAATGCAACAGGAACTCTTTGGCTATCGTAGGTTAGGCCTAAAGTGATTTATTTAAAGGCAGGAATTAACATTTAAACACTACAAATGTAAGTGTGAGAATCACCCAGCACTTTTTCTGGTGGAGTATTGTTAGCGTGGTTTGCAGCTAAAGAGGTTCCTGTTGAGAGATTTAACTCCTGCCCCCCCTGCTCCCCCTGCTTCCCCTGCTCCTTCTCTGCTCCTTCTCTGCTCCTCTCTGCTTCTTCTCTGCTCCTCCTCTGCTCCTCCTTTTACTCCTCCTGCTCCTCCTCCTACTCCTCTTCCTACTGTTCCTGCTCCTCCTCCTCCTGCTGCTCCTCCTACTCTTCCTCCTCTGGCTCTTCCTGCTCCTGCTGCTCCTCCTCTTTCCCCACCTGCCCGTCCTTCCCTTCTTCCTGCTCCACCTCCTGCTCCCCCTGCTCCCCCTGCTCCTCCTGCTCCTCCTGCTCCTCCTGCTCCTCCTGCTCCTCCTGCTCCTTCTCCTCCTCCTCTGCTCCTTCTCTGCTCCTCTGCTCCTTCTCTGCTCCTCCTTTTACTCCTCCTGCTGCTCCTCCTACTCCTCTTCCTACTGTTCCTGCTCCTGCTCCTGCTCCTCCTGCTGCTCCTCCTACTCTTCCTCCTCTGGCTCTTCCTGCTCCTGCTGCTCCTCCTCCTCCCCCACCTGCCCTTCCTTCCCTTCTTCCTGCTCCGCCTCCTGCTTTTCCAGCTCCTCCTGCTCCTCCTAATCCTCCTCCTGCTCCTGACCCTCCTCCTCCACCTCCTCCTCCTCCTCCTTCTCCTCCTCCTCCGCCTCCCCTTTTCCCTCTGAAGAAGCAGCTCCTCTGCAGCAGAGCTCGAGGCCGCTTGCTGAGGTCAAGCACTCCCATCCCAGCCTCTCGAGGGCTTTCTCTGTGTTGCCAGTGTGCTGGTAAAAATGACTTCAAACTCTTGTCAGCCCAGTTACTGGTGCATGCATCACAGTCCCACTCAAATAAACCTGTCACAACATAGAGCCGGCCGCTAGAGAAGAGTACAAGGGCAGGCCTCTAGCTTTTCATTCGAGCATCACTAAACGTGCGCAGAGTGCCCAATTATTTCAGCGTTATTGAGCAAGCCTACAGGAGGACCCAAGCCTTGCTACATTAGATTTTCCTTAGTAATTTACTCAAGTACCGCTGAGGACACTTAAAGGGCTTAAAAACGGTGGCTGCAACCAGCTTCCTTTTCTGGGCTGTTAATTCAGGTTTTCTCTTTCAAATTAACTCTGCCGCATGCTGTGCAGTGGCTCTGGGAGAACTGTTTAACACTAATTTTCTCAATTTTCAGCTTTTTTTGTTTAACATAACTGCTTTAACAGTTATTCATGTATATGTTTTGATTAGAAATGTATGATAGCTAGACTTTTTTTAAAAAAAAAACAAAATACTGGGGATTTTTAAAGATGTGATTTTGCAACTCTTAAAATTTAGCTGTCATTTAAAAAAAATATATCATTTACACTGAATGTCCAAAATGCCCAAATCAGAGCAAGAAAGGTAGCTTTTATCAATTCCACATCTTTCCCTCACTTCTTCAGAAATGCATATATTGGGGTAAGTGTTTCCCTCCTGAGTGCTAGCCTTTCTGCTCTCCATTTGCCACTCCTTTCTGGGGAGGGGGTAAGGAGTGAATGTCGGGGACAAATTCAATATCTGGGTCTGGTTGTTCACAGCAGCAACAACTCCAGGCTCAGCATTTGTCACATGGACATGGTCTGCCAGTACCGCTAACGCCGCACCCGTCGGGGCTTCAGCCGCCTGCCATCCCGCCCATTGGCAGCAGTGCCGGGCTTCTGGCCCTCTCCAGTGCCCTGGGAGGTCAGTCCCATCTTCCAATTAAAGACGAGAAGAAGCACCACGACAATGATCACCAAAGAGGTGAGCCGTGACTTGGGTGTCAGGCTGGTTCTGCCCACCTGATGCTGAGGGTAGGTTCTGGATGCCACTGTTGATGCTGTCTCTGAGTTAAATTTTACCAGTGGACCAAACAGTGGATTTCTGCTGGAAGGTGAAGTCATGATTGGAAGCAGTCATTTGCCAAGTGACACTTGGGCGGCTGGCAAAAATAGAGTCCCTAGAGGCAGAGAGGCCTGTTGCCTTTGCTGCCTTGCTACTTACTGCTGTTTCCCAAGTCCTAATCAGTAATGAAGTCCTGTGATGTCCAGCGGGTGAAGCCGTGTGTTCCATTAATTACTAATTGTAACCAGGTTTATTTTGGGGAAAGACTTACTGATAATGGTTTGTTCACTCTCTATTTGGCCAGATCAATTATTATAAATCCAACAAAGCTACACAGGGCCATAAAAATCGCACAGATAAGGAAATAATTCTCTTAATGTAGTAATTGAGAAGGTAGAAGGCGAATTAATGAAGTCAGTTGGCTTAACTACGCCTCTCACCTAGTCTGCGTGGAAGTGTTAAATCTATCTTAATTTCTTCCAATAAGGATAACACAATTGCTTATGCCATTAATTGATTTAAAGGCCAGTTGTGCTTCCTCTAAATTAGCTTCCTTCCTTCCCTAAGGAAGATGATGGAGCAGAGAAATTTTGGTGTGGCTCTATGTTTATATGTTCAATATGAATGATCTATAATAGCCAATGGCAAAAAAAAAAAAAAAAAAATTGCAAGATTACCTTGCAGTATTCCTTTAAAAAAAAAAAAAAAAAAATTGCAAGATTACCTTGCAGTATTCCTTTCTGGGAATTTACCTAGCACATGGGTGGCTCATTGGTCTGCAGGGCATGGTTCATAATTAGCAGCTCATATCTACTCCTGTTTCAGTGTTGTTAGTTACCATGCATTATAATCTTGGGTAAATTATTTTATCACATAAGCATAAATTTACTGTTTCTTATGTTAGAAACACTGTAATATTTGCCTTCCAGTTATCTTAATGCTGTGGTACAGAGTTGACTCATGAATGTAAATACTTTTATAAGTGGAAAAATCATTAAGATACACAAATAATAAGGTCCAGCTTTGGTCCTTCGGAAATTGTGTCGAAGGTAGAATGGTGCTTTGTGAAATCTGGTAGAGTCGTATTAATAATTAACTTCGTAGCACAGCTGACAGCTGTGCGATTTGTTTTTTAGCAGAAACCAAATTTGATAAATGCATGATTTTGTGTAAACTAACTGGTACTTTCTTTTTTCCTTCTTCCCGCCACTTTATCTGCTTGTATTGCTGCTGTCTTGCCTGTAGACAGAGACTCCATCAAGGTAGGACTCAAAATGTACAAATAAAGCAATGTTTAAAAGGGCTCTAAGTGATTGGGAGAAATCAAATCATAGATGTTTTGAGGTTTAATATGGTGAGCTATTACCAAATAGTTAGCTGACTTTCCAGCGTTGGGATGTTATTTTTGAAGATATGGTTCAATTTCTCTACCAGAATCAGATTTGGAGAGCAAAGTTTAATTATAAAATCAGGCTTATATTGCTCATTTTATTGTATCTTCTCATGTGAAAAAGAATAACTTCTCTTGGGCTTTGGCTATAAGATAATAACAAGAGACATAAATAAGTTGGTTTGTAAGGAAATGCATACCAGTTTCATTTCAAAACCAATTCTATTCTACAAAATTTATTTCCAGAATATTGTTTGGATGACATATAGTTCAGTGGAAGAGTATAGACTTGGCATGGGTAAGGTCATAGGTTTAATCCCTAGCACCCCAAAAGACATTTTTTAAAAATGCCATTTGTTTAAAAGCATTGCTGTTTACTAGAAAGCTATTGCTTTTTCTTTTTAACATCATAGTTTCCATTGTGGTAGTTAATTCTCTCTGTTTGCCATTGTCTTATCTACCTGCTGTATCTCTTTATGGAAAAGTAGTAGGTAAACAGGGAAGGTATTTAGGGTGTCATGGCTTGTATGTGCTTACATAAGGTCAGGGTGAGATATGCTAAAGATAACTTGAGTTCTTTACTGAGTAAATGGGAGAAGCACTCTGCCTTCAGAAGAAGTGAGTGGTGTGAAAATTGAAAGTTGCTTTGGTCACTTGAGCCAGTTGCAATGTAAACACACTACTGTGTTATGCATGATTGTTGCATGTGTCATTGAATTACTTCTTGATTATAAAGAAAAGGCAGTTCTCATTTGTAGCGAAATTATAGATTCTGTCAGCTCTCCTTTCGTGTTTTACAATATTTAATGTTGTGGAATTTAGTCAAATCTCTTGCAGTTTTTAACTCAACTATGTGTATGAGGACTAAAATCTTTCCCTGCAACAATCTGTTTGTTTACTTCTTGTCCTTTACAATAAAACAAACATTTCTAAGAGTTTTAAGGGTTTTTTTTCTCCCCCATAAATAGTGGAAAATACAAATTGAGTGTATCTGTTTTACCCTTCAAGAAGTTTTATTTGAAAGGACGTTGCAATTCCATATGAATATCAACATTTACAATTGAAACTGTATGCATTATATTATAGAAATATGTGTGTGTGTGTGTGTGTGTGTGTGTGTGTGTATACTTAGATTAAAAAAAAAAAAAAAACAAAACTTAAGTACTCCACACAAGCAAGGGCAGTGGCCAGAAAATTGCTAACAGCCCTAGGAAAGCCTGTCTGGTTATCCTGAGGCTGTGCTCTAAACTATCCCCTGGTTTCTTGTGTTATATACCTCTAGGCAGGCCAGTGAATTAAGCAAAAGCCTCCTCATGCCCCACGCCTAGCAGACTGAAAATATTTATACTGTGGTGCACATGTTTATGTCAGTTACATTTTAGATTTCCTCATGCGAGAGTTGGGTGCATTCTAAAGTCTTCTGTAATCATTCACAGTGAGTCTATAAGTGCTTGGTAGCTAGAAGCCAGGGGAAAAACAAAAAGGAATTGGAAGTGGATGGTTTCGCCTTGATTTATTATGGAATGGTGACTGTGGGGAGAAGGGTATTCTCAAATTCAGTTGCATTTTATCACGTCTGGGTTGTGATGCCTTAGATCTGTGAGGCGAAGGAGTTGCTGATTTTCTTAAATGTGGCCAGTGAGGCTCAGCAAAGCAGCCCTGTTGCTTATTCCGTTGATCATCCTTACCCTCTGCTAACTGGTTCCTGGTTAGGAGGGGCTTTTAAGATTGTCACCTTGTGACTGGAGTGGGTTTTTATCAGTCAGAGTGTGCTGGTTGCCTGCAGCTGGAATTGGGCTTGTATGAAATAATTTATTCACAGAGGATAATGCTCCTTAACATTTAACAGGTAATGAACGTGACATAAATTTCCTTCTTGCTTTTAATTTTTCCCTTTCCTCTTCTAATGTGCAAACAGGCAGCTCTGGTACTCTAAATAATAAGTAATTTTTGGCCATCTGTCAAAAGGAAATTTCAATACAAATTTAAATTAATGGTGCCTGAAATTTTTTATAGCTCCTCTAAAAGCCTCTAATGTGCAGAAAATTCCAAATCTGCTGGTAGTAATTAGTGTTGCATGTAATGAGGATGTGGGCAGTGTTATACAGCCCCATTGTAACATTTTGATATGGTAGCAAAATTTTGATTTATACAGGGTCGTGGATGAGTTTAATTGTGAGAGACACTTTAAAATGTTTTCTTGATTTTACAGATTATTAAACAGGGCAGATTTCAGGGTAGTGTATGAAATACAACTTTAAGCTTACTGTAAAGATTCAGGTGATTAAAATGCTTAACTTCTAGGTGCCACGTGAAATGAAAGAAATCACTTGTTAAATTGTTGGACTTTTTCCCTCTTTTTCTTTTCTCAGAAGTTCTGTGGTCACTAAATCACACACTATTGGCTTTATTGATCTTGTTTTCTGTAGCTCTAGTAGCCAAGTTCAGTCCTAAGCCTGTTATTTGCAGACTTCTATCTAAAGTTTTTCAACAAGTGTAGAAGGTAAATATGGACCTTAGGGAGAAAGTGCCATAGGAGTCCAGGGATCTAGTTCCTTGGCGAAAAGAAACTAGAATAGTGTATGGAGCAGGGCTCTTGAAATAAGGGCCATGACCCCTGCAACCTCGCTTATCAGTCACTGGCTACCCAGGAAAACTCTGTGGCCAGTGTGTGTGTTACTGTTGAGGCCTGAAATTAGTGAGAAGTTCAGACTGTGGTCTACTCTTACCCTTAATGGTAGGATAGAAAGCCCAAATTTAGCTCTTGGGCAAGCCCACAGGCTGGGTTCCTGTTCTAAGTGGGGCTTTCTCTTGGAACTGATGACACACTGCCAGTCCTTCCTGCTGAGAGTGCAGGGGTGGAAATGGGTGGCATCAGAGTTGGCGTCCCCCGTGCTGCCAGGAGCCTTTCGGTCGGGCCGGAGGTGCTGGTTCACGAGCAGGGTCATGTGCCATGAGTTACCAGAGCTCAGATCCCTCTTCAATGTTCATCCAGGAAGGGCTGAAATATGGGTAACGGTTCAGAACGTGGAAGGCCCAATTGCCTAAAACTTGGTAGGAAGTTGGGAAATTGTAGTTTTGTTACCCTCCCAGAGCCTCTAGTGTTCTCACACTTCTAATGTAGGCACCAAAATCAAGACTTATCTTACATTCAAGTGGCAGAATTCATTGTCCTCAAATATTGATTAGCTCCGTGACTTCTCCCAAGTTGCTGCCACTGTCCATTTTTATTTTTGCATCCACTTCCGGTCTATGTCATCTGCTATCTTGAGGCAGTAACCTTCTCTCACTTGACTTGTGCTTTCCCAAATTGATCTCCAAAATCTCTATACCAATTTAAAACACTGACTGTCATGTTTGAGTATGTTGTTAGTGCACCGATAGCAAGCTCCATAGCTTTTGTAATTTTTGCTAGTATAATGAGTCTGGACAGTGCGCTTTTTTAAAATTTGCATATGATTTTCAAACTAAATGCTTTTTCTGTGGGCGTGTGTATGTGAACTTTATCCTCTCTGAATTCTTTTTTAGTTGAGGAAAGGCTTTCATAATGGTTTGTTTTTACTTGTGTTTAAGGCGGTCCCTGTTGATTCTGCTCTGTATGTTGGTGTTTGCTCGAGGTGGGCAACTCAAGCATCACGTGTTGCAATTCTGTTTTCCCTGTCACTCTCTGTTAGCAATAAAGATTTATCAGTGGGAAATTAGAAGAAGGTTATTTTTGTGTGCAGGTTGAAGTGTGTGATTCAGAGCAGGAAAGCACTTTTGCCTTATTAGCTGGGTGTTACAGGTGAAAGTCGGTCGTTAGCCTGAATTAGAATTATCAGTCCTACTTGCCAGCTCGCTTTGCACAGGAAAGCTTCTTGGTCGAGGTGCCGTGCCAAGGTCTTGTGTAACCTGCGTGCCTGGCTGTTCGCGCCACACCTGCTTTCCCTGTCACGAAGAATACTGTGTGGAAGGAGTGTGCTTTTATCATGTTTAACCCTTTGCAGTGCAGAGAAGAAGCCCCTTTAAAGAGGAAATAGGGGGCCCACAAAGTTTGGGTTTAACACTCCCTTCCCCTCATATACTCTCTTAAGATAGGAATGTTTCCTTTCAGGAGAAAGCTTCTTCCTTAGATAAATGTGCATTTCTGCCGACTAAAAAGACACATTGTAAAACAATCAAAGATGTGAAATTATGGAAGGCTCAATTTAAAAGAAAGGACTGAGTGAAATCAATAAATCACAGTAAGCAAAACAAGCAAGGCAAACTGTAGTGGACTTGGATTTAACACCTGTTTTTCCCTGGATCTTCACTAATTGAAGAGGTTCTCTGATCTACTGCATGTGTAATGCCTACCTTAGATTTTGCCTAATTGGTGTCACACTTACTTTATTTCATTCCTTGTGAAAGTTTTAAAGGTGTGAAGGCCTTGCCTGAGGTCACATAGGTAGTGTCCTTCTCAGGAAAGCTCTTTGAATATTTCAGTCTTATTCTTTGTTATTAAAAGCATGAGTACAAAGTACTAATGTAGTACAAATATATATGTATATACATGTATAAAATGTTTATCTAGCCAGTAAAACAAAGAACTTACATGCATCCAGTGCCTGTGTGTAGGAGTTGTAATACTGAAATACATTTTCATCTATTTCTTTCTCCACAACAATCCTTCAATCTCAATCTCCTGAGTGCTTTGATTATAGGCATGCACCACCATGCCCAGCATAAATGTTTAAATTTTTAAAAGGTATTACAGTAAAAGATCCATTGCTGTTAATCCCCGTTGGAACTCTTTTCTGGCTGTGGACACACCTGCCATCATTTTTGCCACCTTCTGAAGCGGTTCTGTGAGCCCACTTTCATGTCTACAGTTCTACTGTTGTGGCTGCCTCA